GGGTGTGGCTTGATGGGCGTGGCATGGCTTGATGGGCATGGCTTGGTGGGTGTGGCATGGGAAGGATATTGTAAAATATCCATTCCCTCCCCAATCCAGGGGAAGGTTACTGCAAAATTCCCATTTCCTCCCAATCAGCTGGGACTCAGGAGGCAGAGAATAAATGGGGGCAGGCCAATCAGAATTTTTACTACCGGTTCTCTGAATTACTCAAAATTTCCACTACCAGTTCTCCAGAACTGGTCAGAACCTTCTGAAACCCACCTCTGTACATTGGGTATATTGGGAAGCATTAAAGTATACTGAATGATGTAGGAATGGAGAATTTCAGAAATATGAATATTGAATTTATGTATTTGTCTATCTCACAAAATAAGTGATCCTGGGCTGTGTAAAGTAAAGTGAATTATAAAATAAACACATAAAGGAAGAATTGAATGGGTCAAAGAAAGACATAACTGAGAAAGCTGTGATTGGATGGAGTTGATGAGAACTTGAAAATGTGAAGAGTTTTGAAAAAAGGATAAAAATGAAGGAATGAAGGAAGTGTGTAACAATCTTGGTGAAAGGAACATATTTTGCAAGAATAGAAGGAACACATAGTGTTCATGAAAATAACTTCACTATTTTTTTTAATACTTGGCCTGTCATCAGTTTTATTTTCTTTGTTCTGCATAAAGTTGCTACCCCCAAAAGGAATAGCACAGGTATAGTACATATATGTAAGTATTTATGTAGATGATACAGTGACGCTTGAATTTTTGAATTGGAAATATAGTTTTAGATTTCCATTCAGGAGCCATCACCAATGAACTAAGTTTAGCTTTTACAGGAGAAGACAAATATGTTGGTCACAATAATGTATTCATTTTTTGAAATGAGACAGATCTATATGTATGGCTGTTTTACAGAAAGAAAAAGAAAATTGCCTGGTATGAAATAAAGATACCGTCACTAACAATGCTTATCTTTTATTCTTGATTCTTGATGAACGTATCTTTTCTTTTATGTACACTGAGAGCATATGCACCAAGACAAATGTGTGTCCAATCACACTTGGCCAATAAAAAATTCTAATTCTAATTCTAATTCTTTTAAAAGCAAGATTAGTGAATCATTATTGTTTTCTGAGTTCAGTTCCAAGGATCAATTTGATGTTTACTACTAAACAGTTTGGGATCTAGATAAGGACAGGATTAATTTTTGACTGATGAACTATGACACTCTGATTTCCAGAAGAGGGTCTGTGTTTGCTTTCAAAGAAAGAAAGAAAGAAAGAAAGAAAGGAAGGAAGGAAGGAAGGAAGGAAGGAAGGAAGAAAGAAAGAAAGAAAGAAAGAAAGAAAGAAAGAAAGAAAGAAAGAAAGATAGAAAGAAAGTTGGAAGAGACCTTGGAGGTTGTCTAGTCCAACTCCCTGCTCACGCAGGTGTCCTATGCTAGGGATTCGAACCACTGAACTGCCGACCTTTCTGATTGAGAAGCTCAGTGTTTTAGCCACTGAGCCACCTATGTTGTTCATACATCCTTCCTACAGGTTCTCACATTGGTGCATTTATTGGATGTAGAAATAGCAACTTAGCCAGTAATACTACTACTTTTCCCTAATATGAGCATCCTGTAATTGCTTGGGTTTCAGCTTCAAAATTTCCCAGCCAGAATAACAAATATTGAAATAAACTATTAGAATTGAAATTGATATCCTTGCATCTAGACTGAAAAAATTGCTTTATGACATTGATCTTGTTTTTACCTCACTGAGGTAATAATAATAATAAACTTTATTGTCATTGTATGTGTATACACAGTATACACATACAACGAAATTTACTTAACACCCAAAGACCAGGTCCCACACACATAATCCCCAAACACACTCCCACCCACCACAATTCCCCACCCCTAAACCACCCAAACATCCACACAACAGACCAAGTAATACTGTCCAACAGCTCACTGATGGTGGCCCTTTAGCTCATTGTTGAGTGCAATTATAGCTCTGGGATAAAAACTATTCAGAAAACATGTGGTCCGAGTTTTAATTGTTCTGTATCTTCTGCCAGAAGGCAACAGTCCAAAAAGATTGTAAGTAGGATGGGAAGAGTCTATATATATATATATACATATATAATATATAATAATACATATATATAATATATGTATTATACATATTATATAATACATATATATAATATATGTATTATACAAAGTCAGCTTATTGCCCCGACAAACCGGGTCCTCATTTTACCTACCTCGAAAGGATGGAAGGCTGAGTCAACCTTGAGTCTGGTGAGATTTGAACTTGCAGTAATTGCAGGCAGCTGATGCTATTTAACAGCACTTTAATCTGCTACACCACCAAGGCTCTTCTTTTGTAAATGGTAACTCATTGATCACCTTTAAACATCTATAATAACATAACATAACATAACATAACATAACATAACATAACATAACATAACATAACATAACATAACATAACATAACAACTTTATTAACATTCTCTTCGAAGGCATTATCTGTATATTATTTCTACTCCTCATGTAATCGGCTGATGCATTTTTTTCTGTCAGAGGGAAACATGCAAATTCAGGACTCATTAATATATAAGAAATCCCTATATGAGGGCGATGGGAGTTTCTAAATGTGATAAAATAACAATTTAGATTATTTTTAAGCACTCTGACGTTTTTTAGTTTATCTAAGTTACATTTTCAGCATTGCTAAGCTGTTCATCTCCCAAAATATTTTAGCTGCTTGTACTTCAGTTTTTCAAAAACTATCCCTCCCACTTTTTTTTTTTTTTGGTAACATCAGGAATCTCTGGGAAGTAATAGAGTGATAATTATATAGCACTTATTTCTATAATGTTCTCTATAATTAGAGAAAGAAGCATTAGACATTTTTAGTACATATTCTGGAGCTTGCTTTCCCAAAAGTTTCAGAGACACAGCCAACATTCCAACATATCTCTTGTTAAAGTCAGATGTGCCTCTTTGCAGGTGGGAAAACTTTAGTGCTGCAGGTGATGAAAACAGGACACAATATCACCTGACTCTATATCAGCCTATTCTTGGCAATTGAAGGCACTGGCTCCAGAAAGCAGATTAAATAAAAACTCAGCCATAACAGGGAGGAAAAAACCAAGTAGCTTCAATTGTTTAAAGATCTTTTGCATGTGAACAATTCATGTGTGCAACCAGTGTGAGTTTTAGAATCAGAGGATCAGGCTGAAAGCCATAGCTCTACTACTGTTGCTTCAATGGGACAATCATCAGGCGATGTCAACATCCATTTGGAATCAGGAAATAAGATACAGAGAAAAAGCCTTTGTTGTCATTTAGGAAAAATGGATGAGATACTGTTGTGGCCTGCCAGCTGCCAGCAGATCTAGCAGAAGATTTGGACTGTGAGGAGATTGGGGAGGAACATGGGCCAATCCTGGAGTCTGGGGAAGGCTCTGATGAGGGCTCTACATCAGAGGCAGAGAGGGGGTCAGAGCAGTATGCCAGTTATCAGCTGCCTTTGGAGTCAGACATCAGTGAGGCAGACAAACAGCTGGAGCCTGTTCCCAGTGTGCAGATGCGCAGAGTTGCCAGACGAAGGGAACAGCTAAAGAACAAGGGTCGACTTGGGAATAAGGCCACAGGTGACCGATGAATGGCCCCTCCCAGAGGGAATAAAAGAGGAGCAAAAGGGGAGGGGAGTTTGCAGGAGACAATTACTTCATTACTGCATTCTTGCCAAGTATTGCGGCGTCTGAAAGATATTGGCCTGGCCATTCTCCAAGCCTGATAAAAGTCGGTAATTGTGAACTATCTTGAAAGACTGTGGGAGAGGAAAGACTTTGCTGGAGAATAATTCGCTGTAAATTAAATAGAAGGGGTTTATCGGGACGAGGACTTGGCTTCATGCTGCTAGGGATGTCCTAGGTCAGAACAGGTACCAGAAGACAAAAGTTTCCACACCTATCTTTTTTTTTTTTTGAAAAAGACCAATGTAGATCTGGGGATTTTCAAACCGGGTGTTTGGAGAGATAATGGTTCTAACTGTGCCTTATTGTCCTCTCCATGGTCCCCGCTGCAAGGTCTTTAATGCAGAAGCCTCACATGGGATATAGAAAATGGCCCTTACATAGAAAAACAATGTGAGGAACAGATACTGTAAGTGCAGATTGTCTGGATTCTAATAGCATAAGCCTTGGTTGTGCCCCCAGCACTTCTCCAGTAAAAGACTATAAATTGTAACTTAAAGCTGATGAAAGTAGGGAAACTTAAACACTACTACATTTAAATTAAGCAAAATGAGTTTTTCTTTTGGCTCTACACAATTTTTCGTTTTGGTCTTGCCTACCATTTATAATGCAGTTCCTAGTATATGGTGGGACATGTTTATACTTGAAGCTGTCTGGTAAAGAGAGAGAGGGAAAAAAAGATCCCTATTAAAATGAAATTTTCAGCAGTCGTGAAAAAACAACTTTGCTTACGTCAGTGAGTTATACACATGTAAGATTACCATATATCCAGAGACATTAAGCAACTTCAATTTGAGTAGTTCTTCTGATTCAAGTGCAGAACACACAAGTGTGTAAGGCATGATGACAACTTGCTGAATTATTGTGATGAAAGTGAAAATGCTCAAAGACAACAGTCAGGGCAAGTTCCTCATTTTACATTTTGTCTGTGTTTTTGCCCATTACAGAATATCAGTCTAGACTCAACTATTAGCTAATCAGTAGCTAGTGCTAACCTATATAAGACTGCTTATATGGCCTCTTTGCCACAGGAAAAGTTCCTGCAAACTGGACGTGTATTTGAATAAGTAAGTATGGCTTTGCAAAATAATCATCGGCTAATGTATTTCATAGCAGAAATAGGCACCCCACATTCCATATGCATTCCCCAATACTCTGTACCAAATTCTTGGAAATTTGGATATGACTTACACTCACTGGATTTTAAAAAAAAAAATTATATCAGCTTTAAAAATGAAATTGTCCTGACCTTTTGCAGTGTAGCCTTGAGTGCTCTGCAGATCATACCAGGTATTCTTGAGCTAAGGAAAACAAAAAGTCACCCAGTCACGTTTTAATTTTAATGAATGAACTAGTTACTGAATTCAGTTGTCCTAGGTAATTTCGTAATACAATCTACCAATAAGATGTCTTTTAAAATTATTGGGACTACAACTCCCAGAATCCCAGGCCTAGAGGGAATTACTTAGATTGAAGACTATTCTTGCAAGAGAGCCAAATTTATTGCATCATGGACGGTTAACTCTTCGGAGTTTTTAAAATGAAAATCAATGAAAGATAATATCTTGATGTTCAGCCAAGTCAGATTTCTTTGCTTCCATATGATATTTCCTCCATTAATCATTGGCAGTTATAGTCTAGTTTACATTAAAGAACACTCTCTGGACTAGCTCAATAATAAGACTTCAAAAACTTTTGGATAACATGCTGCCTGTTTATAATCTGCTGAAACAAATAAATTTATAAGCTGCTTTTTGAAAGAGAAGTTTGAAAACCTTCTTAATAGTTTATAACAGATTTTAATATTTGTTCATATATAGTATATAAGAATAATATATAATGAAAAGCATTTTGCCAAATAGGCCTCCAATCTCTAAGAAAAAGGGCTAGGCAAGTTAAATGCTTAGTTGGGTTGAGAAATAGGACAAAAAGAGAAAAGAGTCTGACTCAGACCTCATCTAATCTGTAGAAGGCTTTGAAAATAAAAAGGAATAATAAATAAAAAGGCTGTTTAGAATTAGAAGTGAAAATATGAGCATGAAAATGAAATATATTTCCAGAATATTTGTATGATTGTATGACAGCTTACTTCTTAGGTGACTCTTGGTGGCTAACAAGGGATAAAAAATATCAGATACAAATTAAAATGATAAAATAATAAAATAAAACATATTGGTGGGGGACCAGGTATAATCCAGTGCCCATAATAATGTAATTGCAGTCATAATGCATCTAAGGAATGCCACATTTAAAAAACTGGTTTGTTGACATTCACTTGATCTACAATCATCAGTCTGGGAAAATGAGTATTCTACTCTGTTTCCCCAGAGTTATTCTTAAATGGCAGTCGAAATTGCTGAACATCACAATCCTTGTAAAATATATTAAAAAGCTTTAAAGCTTTTTGCAAACGCTCACAATGAATACCTGAAAAAGTCAAGTCGAAGATCTAGTCTGCTTCCAAAATCTTTTTTGGCAAACAAGTCACAAAGCAGAGTTCTCTTGTCAGACAACTAAAAGCACGACATCCTCTCAGTGTCAACTTCATGTTTTTGTAATTCTCTTACAGCTGCAAGAATTGGTAGAGGAGGTGGGAAGATTTTTGTGCAAAGGGAAATTAGTAGAGGGGCTAAATCCAGGGAAGAAATGACTCCTGATCCAGATTGGAACAGGGCTGAAATTATTTCAGAGAAAGCACAACTTTTGGGGCCAGGAAATCCTCAGAGCCTTCAGCCTAACTCTTTCTGGTAGTCCATCTCTATTTTCTTATTTGTGTTCTGCAAAGAAGTGGTACAATATAACGAATGCAACAAGTGATGCTTTGTGGTGGCCATTGCACAAAATCCAGCTATATGCTGCTAGGTTTAAAATTAAAATTCTATTTTCTGACTAGACAGACCCAGTTGTCCTGTTTTAGCAAGGTCTTCATTATTTCCTGTCAGTCTTTATAACATGTAACATAAAACTGTGATTTAAAAGAATTAGCCAAACCATGACAAATCAGCTGTTTTGACTAGCACTTGAAGACAATGTTGGGAAAAAAAGGGAGGGGGGATATAGGTTGGAGTCTAAGGCTTTCCTAATTTTTAACTATTACTTATTTGCCAAATCCAAAGTTTTAATAATGATCTGATGTTTTACAAGTTTGAACCTCTCTCAAAATTTGATCAGAAAGTGAGATTTGCAGAAATTGTTTTTGGTGAACTGCAGATTTTCAACAATCTTAGAAAGTCCTTTTGGATCTTGAAAAAGTAGTTATAGCATTTACTCCATTTAAAAGATATAGGATTTGACAGAATTCTTATCATCTAGTCTAGGCAGTTAAGACAAACAGTGCAGGTGATTATATAATAGAATTGATTACATCCTGCCTAAAATTAGTAGAGATTTTCTTTGATGTCTTTGCGCAAATCTGACAAATCCCATACATATTAGTAGAGAGAGTTAATTGAATTAAGTAATCAAAATGATAATGATAAAAAATAGAGACTTGACAGCTTTGAGTTGCTTTTCCCAAAGGTGCTTTTTCAAAATGCAACGGGAGTTTCTGGGTTTTCTTTAAAGACGTTTCGCTTCTCATCCAAGAAGCTTCTTCAGCCATTGGATGAGAAGTGAAACGTCTTCAAAGAAAAACCAGAAAGTCCAATTGTCTCTTGAAAAAGCACCTTTGGGACAACTGTGACCTGGATGGCTGAGAATCTCCATAGACTTTGAGTTGCTTCTAAAAGAATCACTAAAAGTGATTCTTGATTGCAAAATGTTTGTAGACCTTTACTTTAAATCATAAACAAGAAGTAACATGGTAACTTTCAGATGTTCTTATCGAACTAATCGGTTACTTATTTATTGTTTTGGATTCAGACATGCTATAATTGCAAAGGGTTTTACTATGCAGTTGCCCTACCTTATTCACAAAATTCTTAGATGCCCAGATGGCGTTCATTACCATTTGTATCACTCCTACCTTTTCACAGCATTTCTTGTATCATTTTTTTTCTTTCCAAAGAGCATCTGTTAAGATGAAATAGCTGTAGAATGCATTTTGATTGATATCGTTAGAAGCTTGCTCTCTGGAAACCCATATTTCTCCAAAGTAAAATTGTTTTTTAGACATCCTATCTTCCAAACATACAAATCACCTTTTTTCTTTATATAAGAAAATGGGTTCTTGTGTGCCCAAAAGCTTTTAAAATTTCTGAGAAGCCTGAGGGCAGAATGTTCATTTGATTCTTCCCATCTTCTCTCTGCATCCTATTTCAATTGGGGGCGGGGGAATAGTTTGCTTCTTGAAAAAAAAAACAATTCTAGTAAATAAGACTGCATAGGTAAAGCAAAAATAACTCTGAAATAACCCTTGAGATTATCTTTTGTCTCTGTAGTTTTACTGCATTGAGGGAAAGGTATTATATCACTTCAGACATAGTAGCTTGGATGTCCTTCTATATATAGGACCTGATGTTATTTGTTCCTACAAGAAAGAGGCCTCTGCGTATCTCATAACTAGGCAGTGAAGTTTCTTGATGTTTCTTGCAAGATCTTCACATAAGCTCAGGAAAGAAGAAAGGCTGGGCTTTTCAGAGCAGGGACCCTTCTCTTTAAAGGAGAAAGAAGAGATGATTGCAATAGTAAAGGTAAAGGTTCTTCTCGCACATATGTGCTAGTTGTTATCGACTCTAAGGGGCGGTGCTCATCTCTGTTTCAAAGCCAAAGAGCCAGTGCTGTCCGAAGACATCTCCGTGGTCATGTGGTCGGCATGACTAAATGCCAAAGACACATGGAACACTGTTACCTTCCCACCAAAGGTGGTCCCTATTTTTCTACTTGCATTTTTTACATGCTTTCGAACTGCTAGGTTGGCAGAAGCTGAGACAAGTAACAGGAGCTCACCCCGTTACACAGCACGAGGGATTTAGTAAGGGATAGTAAAATATCCCTTATTAGTAAATATTAGTAAGGTATTAGTAAGGTAATATTAGTAAAATATTAATAAGGGATAGTAAAATAAAAATAGTAAAATAGTAAGGGAAAATAAAAAAGAAGTGAGGACTGGAGTAAGAAATATAAAGAATTTTTTTATTTATATGACTCCTGAGGTAAAATGATATCCAAAACTGGCCCCACTCTTATCAGTATCACAGAGAAGTCCTGAACTGGGAAAAAGAAAAAGAACAGAGACAGCCTTACAGGAGTAAGAAGGCCAATGATGAAAAGCTAGGTATATTTCAAAAGAAGATGAAGACAAGAATGGAAACCAGGGACAGCCTTTATTTCTTCCCTGAACATTTGGACAGCATAGCTTTTCAGTTATTTTCCCAGCCAGACATAGCAGTTGTGATGTATCTGGAACTGAGTTGCAGGAGGGGAGGGGCTCTTTCCCCAGGAGGTAAAACGCCATTTAGTCGTGAGTCCTTGCTGAGCAGAAAGCAGCTCAGAAGGGTTTCTTCCCAAACCTTCACAGGATTTTTATCTGATAAGTTATTCAGAACATGTTTTAGTCTGCCAAAAATTCTGCTACGAGTGAACAGCAGACAAGAAACTATTCTGAGCAATTCATTGTGTCATTCTTGGTTTTTTGCCCCTGTCAGCAGTGGAGAGCCAACTGGGAAATCTGCACTGAAGCCAGTGAGTCTGGACAGTGAGCCATGTTCAGAGCAGCTATCTTGACAGCCATGAACCCAACAATAGTAACCAGCCTTGGAAGATAAAAGGTTGAGACAGGATGGAAGAGATGGTAGAAACAGCAATAGAATGGGTCTACCTGTACAAAAAGAAATAGGAAGGCAGGCAGGCAGGTAGATGGAATAGCTTGATAAGAATTAAGTAAAACTAAAAATAGGTGTAGGTAAAGAACAGAAGGAATTGGTAAGTTAATGATGAAGTAAAATTTCAGTAGAGGCGATGAACAGAATTTAATAATGTTGCTGCAGATAAAGAAGAAAGGACTACAGAATACAAGATAGCACTGAAGTGATTAAAGCTGGACGAAAGTGTAGTGAATATATGGTAGAGAACTCAGATTAATTGTAATAGAGCAAAATAAAGATCCACAGAAAACTACCAAAATGTAAAAAGATCAGTGAAGCATTAGGAATAAGTTAAGATGAATTAGAATGACTGTACATAGAACATAAAACACACAATAAATAACAAAGAACTTCACTGTTCACTTACTTTTTTCTTTTTTTGAAATGCTAGTTATTCATGATAAAAATAATTTGGAACTGCCCAGGGCTATTTTTAATCTTAGAATGTTGTAATAATCCTCTTATCTTCCTTGTTTTAAAAATACTTCAGGAATTTCTGTATGATTAAGTTCCACCATATCAGATTTTGATCCAGCTATTCCTGAAGTTTGTACGTACATGTTTATCTTCTTCCTTCTGTTGCTGAACATTTTTTGGTTTATCTCTGATAATTCAATGCTAGCTGTGAATTATGGAAATTGAAGTACATCAGATCTTACAGGCACCATTCTGGACTATGGCTAATATATATAGTCAGATAGCCTACACTGGACAGATAATCTGAGGACCAGGACTATGTGTGGCTTCTGATCCCCTTCTGTACAATCCCTCTCTGATCACAACTACTTAAAGTGACTGGCATGGCTTCTCACCATTATGAGCAAAAAACCCTGATAAAAAACTTTACCACACCAGTCAGCTAGCATAATGAAAACAGTATGATCCCAAATCTAACTTCTGAATCTATTTTTAAAAAGATCATTTGTTCACTGTGGAATATAGTCCCACTTGTTTTGAATCATTGCTCCTTTTGTCCTCCCAAGAATATATTAAGGGCTGCTCAGACTTGGAAATGTTGCGTAGCCCTCATTTCCACTGTATCTCTGTAGATTTATTTATTTAATAGGAAATACGGTCAATGGCCAGCAGGAAATTACAGAGTTGATCTGCTCAGTGGAAAATCTGGATGGCGTTTGAAAAGCAGCAGTAAAACCTTTCATCTTCACTATGTTTCATAATTCCAGAAACCCTTACCATCTTACAGGAACACCTGTTGGTGAAGATAACTGCTCTAAAGGTTCCTCAGAACAATTCTTAGGTGGGAAATGACTGTTGTTCTGGGATTATGGATTGGGGCTGTATCTCCAAATACATGGAAAGCTAAAGAGAAAATCATGTTTCAAAAATATTGTTAAAAGCCCTATAAAGGAGATGCTGTGCTTTGACTGACAAAGGAAAGCGTTCAAAAGCAGAGGGTTGGCAGGGATGCTTGTTAACCAAAAAAGAAGAAGAAGCAAAAAAAGAGGGGAGACGACTGGACAACCCCTGCTACCAGTGGAATGCAGTTCTTGTGATGAGTACCACAATAGATGGATTGGTAAAAGGAGGAGCTTTTAATGCTTGCTATTTGAGTGAAGTGCATTTATTTGACAGACAACTCATTGTACTTCAATCAGAAGGAACCATGGCAGCCAAAATAGAGTTTCATTTAATATCAGCTGAAGTGAATCACAAATCTAGAATGAATAGATCTGAAGAGCCTTTGAAAGAGCTTAGAGCTGTGCAATTTAGAAACCTTGTACGGTGAGCGTTAATTCATCTTGCATCAAGGAAGATTGACTATCTCCAATGTATGTCCAGAACTGAAGAAAAAAATGTCACAGTTATCCCTGCGAGCAAGGTATAGTAAGCAACTGGCAAAGAAGCAATTAGAGATAGAAAGGAATGTGTGGAATTATTCAAAAGTCAATCACTTCTCCCCCAGACAAAATTCTAATCAGTTAGGAAAAGGAAGACAGAACAAGGTTCTACTGCTGTGGTCTATAACGACATTGGTATTGCAAACCTCGTTAAAAACTTTTTTAAAAAAACCTGTGAGCTTCTATAAAAAGAAATAAAAACTAAGAAAGGACAGTATGGAATCTACTGAAGTGATTAATATCTCATTTGCTCGCTTGCTCTCTCTCTTTCATTTCAGGTGGTAGGTTTCATTAGAGGCAGGACAATCCTGTATTTTCATTATGCTGGGGCCAGAGGTTTGCCATTCTACAGCATGAGAACGGTTGCTTCCTCCTGCCAGGTGTTCAAGAGAAAATGGTTGTTAGAAAAGATGGAAAGGGCAGCAATCTAAAAGCTCTGTTAACCTTTACTGATTTGAGACTATGTCACGAATATGCTTCTTTGTGATACCGCAAGGTCTTTCTGGCCTGAACAAAATACTTCTTTAAAAATGGAAATTTCCCAAGTTTTTAAAAAATGGCATCAAACCTGGTTTATTGTAGAGGCACAGGGAATGGCTATGAAGCAGTAGTGTGTTGCTACTGGTTCAGTCCAGATCTTGAGAACCGGTAGTAATGGCAGCGGGAGGCTCTGCCCACCCGCCCAGATGTCATCACGGATGCTCTGCACATGTGCAGAACTGCCACCCTCAAGTGCTCCCGTTAAACCGGTAGTGAAGGTAAGTGGAACCCACCCCTGCTTTGAAGGACAAGAGGAAAACCTTCTGCCAAAGCAATGGTAAGATAAAGAGGGCCCAGGAAAGTAACTTGAGAAAACCTCTCAGAAAATTCCCTCCATAGTTCACATAAAGATAAAGAGAAGGATGGGGAAGCACATTCAGATCTACAATATTCTGTTACAGTAGTTGCTGCAATAAAAGTAGTATTGCCTACATGGCACTGATTTCTTAAGATGACCCTTGTAGGGCTGGCATTTTACGTTTGGGGGGATGGTTGCTCCCTGGTGACTCTTGAGGATAAGTCCCAGAAGTAGTTTGCTGTCTACTCTCTTACTAGGGCTGAGAAAGAAACTGATCTAAAGCAGGGGAGAAATCTACTTACCTTCCTTACTGGTTCGGAAGTGCACATGTCACACACACGCGCACTCGTCTGCGCATGCCACAAAATATCCAGGTATCGCTACTGGATGGCCGAACCACAGGGAAAAATCTCTACCAGATCGGGCAGTCGGTTCCGATCTGGGAGCATTTCACCCCTCATCTAAAGTCACTAGAGATGCTGGTGGGGTACTGGAGCCCCAACTCCAGCCTTAATCACTACTGGCATTCTTATCTTGCACTGTGATACTTATATTTTCATGTTTAATATTTCTGCTCTTT